TGGGGGGGGGGGGGGGAGGTTCTCTCTATCTTTTGATAACCCCCAAAATGCTTGTATGTTGTTGCTGAATGGTAAAATGTTTTGTTGGAATGTTGTAGATTGTGAGAACTAATGCTAAGGAATCTCTCCAAATGGAGATGTTAGCTCTGGAAAAGACATTTGAACTATTAACTTGTGAGTACAGTGAGAGTGAAGACAAGGAGTCCTATGATGTCAGCCTTTATTTGGATGGGTTTGAGACAGAGTGGAGCATGCATAAAGATTGTCAGAAAAAGGTAACTTAGTATTTAAATTTTTTTCAACATTTTGCAACAAAGATGTAGACTATTATAATAAGAAGCACATTTAAGGTATAAAGAGCATGTATAATGATGATCATTGTGGATTGGTGTGAAATATCAAGATTTGTTTCTTAGATAATGATAGAGAGAGTGCAAGGGTTAATAAAAGAAGTATAAAAATACCCGTTGTTTCATTTTAGGTTATAAATTATGTGAAATTGTTCAAAAACAAAGCAGAATATGTAACGTATTCCCTGAGCCCTAAAATGGCAGACAGATTCGATGTATTTGTCTGCAAGATACACATAAAGCAGGAAGTATCTGAGGATCAGGAAAAGGACATCAAACAGTTGACATCCACTGAGTTTGACATCCACTGGAAGTTACCAGTAAGTTAGTAGGAAACTTGGGTTACTGTAATGTGATGATATATTATCATATTCTCAGTGTGATCAGGCCATTAGCCAGCAATTGCAAAAGGGGGGTTCTTTTTCTGAAAAAAATAGACCTTTTGTCATGAAACCTTGGTTTACCTAGATCAAATTTACCCAGAGTGGACCTTTTCCCAGCAAAAAGAGGGGTTCTTTTGAATCCCCCCCCCCCCCCCACATTTGACTACGGACGGGCCTGGTGGTATTGTCTTTGTATGATATATGACAGTAACTGTAACAATATAGAAATATTGCACCTACTGGTGGTGTTCAACCTGAAATTTGGGCACAGTTCAGTTATCCCAACTTCGGTTTGAACCTTATCTAGTAGTGACTGAAATGCAAAGTCTGTAACTGCTTTGATTCCAGTCCACAAATTTAAAGTTAATAAAGTCTGCTTAATTAAAGGTACATATGAACCCAGCATCGGTGGAGCATGGATTCTCAGTACCCTCTACCACGGAGACTGATAGATTTTTTCATAGATATTCACAGATATGTCTCTAGTTAGAAAGAAGATCATTTTGGTTCAAACTCACCCTGTTGAGAAATCCCATGTGGAAACAATTATCTCTGTGCGTGCGCCAAAGGCTTTGTACTCGCTCTGCATGAGCTGAGCTTCACAACGATGTGATAACTGCTCGTTTCGCAACCAGACTTAAGGCTTTTTTTATCTGTCACAGAAGATAGAGCAAGTGATTAAAGTCAGAATTAACTGTCTTGATTGCTGTCACGCAGACTTAGGGCCCCTTTACACTGGACGGCGTCCTTTCTGCGTCCCTTCTGCGTTCAAAAATGTGGTCAGGACGCTCAACGGTCGCCAAAGCAATTAAATCGTGTCTCAATGTAAAGGCGTCTGCGTCCCTTGTGCGTCCTTTGAACGACCGAATCTTGTTTTTACCTGTAAAACTGCGAGCAACCTGCCTGCCTCCACGCCTGCCTGTACGTCTCCTGTGCAACCCAAGGCATCCATTGCGATGTTAAAGCGACCATTGAGCATTCTTGCTGCGTTCTCTGTACCTTCATCGGCGATCAGTGGCGTCTATTCTACGATCATTCTGCATCCTGCTTGACCGATGAGCGTTGTTTGGGCGTCCTTCTCTGTATTCTAACTCATATTTTTTCATCGGTTCTAACCAGGTCATCCAATAAAGAACATTTCCAGCACACAAAACAAATAAATGGGAATAAAAGCTTTAAACTATAGTGATGCAAGGTCTGCATGGACTGATAATCAGCCAGATGCTCATTGTTTTCCTTATAAGAAGGATGGACAGGCGCCGAAAACGAGAAAATATGACTGACACAACATAGAATGTTTGAATCCGTTTTCAAATGAAGCATTCAGAAAAAAGTTCTGACAATTAATGCATCTTGTAAAAAAGGAAAAAAATATTCGTTTTATAATAACCTCAAAAAAAAAAAAAAAATGGATCGTTTCATGAATTTTAGGGGAAAAAACAATCGGAGAGTGATATGAGACCACTGTTGCCCTTCGAATTCCTGTCTGGTGAAAAATACCTCAGCACGGCCCCGTTTGAGAGTGAAAAAAAATAACGTTCTACGTGTCGAACACTGGACGATCTTTGAGTTTCATTCTGCAACCAAAGCGATGCTTGTGCCTCCTTTCTACGACCGCGGCGATGCTTGTGCGTCCTCTCTGCGACCATTGAGCGACCATCCTCCATCGCGTTCTCTCTGCGATTGTTTTGAACATGCTCAAAACTTCGCGGCGTCCATGGCATCCTCGGCGATGCTTGAACGTTCTTTGTGCGACCTTGGTGATCACTGTGCGTTCTTTGAGCGTCCGACGGCGTCCTGGCCAGTTTCATGGTCGCACAAAGGACGCAGAAAGGACGCCAGTGTAAAGGGGGTTTTAGACTGGACCTGCTAAGTGGCAGTACCTGAGCAGTTATGCAAACAATTACCAGCCATGTAATCAGCCTTGAGATTTCTCAACAGGGTGAGTTTGAACCAAAATGACCATTTATCTAGCTAGAGACATATCTGTGAATATCTGTAAAAAAATCAGTGGCCCTGGTAGAGGGTAGATTCTCAGTAACATATATAAACCACTTCTACTAGGTTTTCTTATACGACTCAAAGAAATTGGACATGCCAAGAGTAATCTGAATAAATCACTGGATCAGCCTTAAGAGCTTTCGACTGCTCCTTTCTTTAAATGTTTGGTCACAAATTGAAACTACTTTTGTGACCTATTTTTCGGCACCATTGATATACAGAATAGAATGCTAGCAGAAAAATCCATTCAAATATCTTTTTTTGGGAAATATTTAACAACGTCTTTTGGTAATTCTCTTAATAATACTGTTTGAAACTATATCCCGGCATTTGTTTGATTTTTGTGGCCAAAAATTGACTTTGTATGCATCTTTAAATAAACAGTTACTCAATGTCAAAGAACAATTCTAAATCCAGCCATATCCAAAATACTACATAACTACTCAGTGGGCCTAAATCAGTGAATAAATGAAGTAATAGATAAATATGCCTAACTAATTAATCAATAAACAGATAAATAAATAAATAAATAAATAAATAAATAAATAAATAAAATAGAATAAATGGTCGTCCAAAAGCATCAACAAAATTCAGTCTNGGGGGGGGGGGAGGGGGGTAAAATTAAACAATGACTTTTGGTAATACTAGTTATACTACTTGAAACTGTATGCTGGCATTTGGCTGGCTTTTGTGGCAAAAATTGACTTCATATGCATCTTTAAAACATATTAAGAATTTAAAGATAATATAGATAAAACACATTCAGAACTTATTGATTTGATTCCATTAGTTCAAACATGGGCAGTCGAGATCCAAGGTGAAGAGTGAGGTACAGGTAATTATCTATTTGTCTCACCTCTACCAGGGGGTGGGGGTTGAATTTGATGTTCAGCAGACAACATGATTGGGGTTGGGGTGGGGGATTACAAGAATATGTCAGTTCATCAGTGGGAAACATTTACCTGGATGAATGAGATGATGTGTTTTCCCCACCGTTTGTCTAGACATACATTTTGATTAAAGACTGGCATTTATCTTTTCCTCGAATATCACATTGTGCAATCTGTATATGATACTGTTTTTAGGGGTTGGCTAGTCTTGGAGTGGTTTTGGGGAGGGGCTTGGTATTCCTGATACCAAATAAGAGATCGCAATAATTTCCTGAAGTGTGACATTCCTTATATTTTGTATCTATTACTATAAAATTTAGAGTTAACTTATTTTTGCAATTTATAAAAGTCGTATTTTTGAAATGCTCAACTTAATATCTAAACCTGGTATAAGCAAATTTTACTTCCACCTCCCCTTCATTATAAAGTTTTATCTGAACAGTTCAAAATCTGCTATGCTGATTTCTCATCATATAAATGCACTTCAGTGGGATTTGACTTTTTCTTTAAAAGGATCACACCTGTTCATTTTGGTCAGATAATGGATTTTCTTAGGGTAAACAACAATTTTTCGCTACTTATCAATGGTTAATGAATCCGTTCCGACATTCAAAGTTGGTCTTAAGATATGGTTACAAGGGTAGTCATCCATGGAGGTCACTTGGTCCAATGGAATAAAAATATTTATAATTTTGACATTTTATGAATAAGAATCGTCTCTTGATAAGCTACATAATTGAATGAGTGCAAGGTGGATCCAGATATATCTTCTAACAGTCTTCCGTATTATCGTCATTGATCCATCTTCCATTTTTGACCATCTGACAGAAAAATGGGCCCCATTCACAATGGATGATCAGTGTACTTAATGATCAGCCGACTATATATGGCTGACCACAGTTCAAAAGCAATGCCGCTGATACCTGATGGTCTCCCTGACTCCACACATGCCTTTAAATGGATTAAATCTCTGCTCCGAGGTTTAATTGCTAGACCCCTGCAGCGACAACATGTGGTATTTACTGTTTGTGTAAACTATTTAGACACAAAGAAAAATTTGATACGACTGCTTGCATATAAACTATATAGGCACTCGAGCTATCAAATTTGGGCTTTGTTCATTGCATGTCTTACCTTAATTAACTATTTGTAAACCCACTTATTAAAACAAACTAATAATGCACCCGAACAAACAAGAAAGCAAGCACTCTTACCAAAAGGATGAGGCATGACTGAAAATCAAAACAGGCAAGATAGCATTTTCAAAATAAAGAAAATAATGAAATAAATAATTTTAATAATTTTAATTAAAGGTACATACAAACCGAGCATCGGTGGAGCGCGGATTCCCAGTAACACATGTAAACCACTTCTACTAGTTTCTTCTACGACTCTAATAAATTCGACATGCCAAGGGATAAACTGAATAAATCACCTGATCAACAATAAAAGAGCTTTAGAGTGCTCCTTTCTTTAAATTTTTGGATGGAAATTTAACCTACTTTCGTGACCTACTTTTCTGCCCCATTGACATACAGCATAGAATGCTAGTAGAAAAATCTGTTCAAACATCACTTTCGGGTAAAATTAAACAATGCCTTTTGGTAATTCTCTTAGTAATACTACTTGANCTGCTCCTTTCTTTAAATTTTTGGTCGGAAATTTAACCTACTTTCGTGACCTACTTTTCTGCCCCATTGACATACAGCATAGAATGCTAGCAGAAAAATCTGTTCAAACATCACTTTCGGGTAAAATTAAACAATGCCTTTTGGTAATTCTCTTAGTAATACTACTTGAAACTGTATGCTGGCATTTGGTTGGTTTTTATGACAAAAAATTGACTTTGTATGTATCTTTAAGGCTAAAAAAAGATAATTAAAAAAGTGTTTGTAGCCATAGTCCCTCCCCCCCCCCCCCCAGAAAGAATGTAAACAAACAAACAATCCACCCGTCAATCCACAAATAAAAAAGAACCTACAGTAAAGTCTTGAAAATTTCGTCGTTCTTGAAGGTTTTCCGCCGACGTAATTTTTTCCCCTTTGAAAACTTCGT